CCCCCTCCCCCTCCTGCTCATTCTGTGTGGTCGCTCACACCATAAGTATGGGCGGGAATACTTTTACATGGAGGCGTTAGTATGGTGGCAATGGGAGAAGGCATACCAATTTTGATACCAGAATGATAAATCTTCAACAAGATTGCTGAATTCATTTTTGGAGGCGGTATGAGACTAAGGCTAAGCCTAAGCCTCACTCTAGCCGGAAAGAGGGCGATTTTAGAGTGCTCATGTGACAGTACCATACTTTTTTGCTCTTCTCTCCTCTCTTCTTCTCTGCTCTTTTTGCTTTTCTTTGTGAACTCGAAAAAATCAACTACTCAGGACGATTCAGTAACCTTTTGCCGATATCAAGCAATTCCGTGCTGCTAGATCTCGATGGATGCAATTTTTCCGGTGCAGGTATCGCATCCCACGTGCTGCCTAGAATCGTTTAGTATTTTACATTATCTGTAGTTTCTACACCGCACCGTACATATATTTTACCTCTATCGTGTAGACGATCCTCTCCCCAACATCTATCGCAAGTTTTTGCTTTCTAAGATGAGTTTGTAAGTCACCACCAGGGCAATACTCCATAACAATCAGGATAGGCGGATGATCGCATGCTACACCGAACATCTGTAAGTTCCTACTCATAAAAAGTACTTCGTCAACAGAGTAAAACAAAAATTCGAAAGTAGGATGTTTTTTGCGTCTTTTCTCTATCTCTCATAAGAAATCGAGCCTATTTGAAAAGGTAATTGAGCACTGATTTGCGTACCAGCAATGCGATGGGCTTATGTCAGGTCGTGTCGTCACTATCCCCTCGATAAAAGTAGGTCACTGCACGTCGCGACCTTAGCTGGGCGCAGTCTTGTGGTGGTGGTGGTGTCTTTACCAGGCATATTAACTATTCTTTATTAGCAGCTTGGTCAAAAGGTATGTTGTAGGGACAGAAAGCTGACCCCTGATTTCTAATGCTATTATCAACTGAAATTTTCCGCTCCTAATAGAATGACTCCGGGGGTTTCAATATCACAAAGTTTAATTACTGATCAAACTCATCGATTTGTTGTCCCTCACTATTCAGCGCCTTTTAACCCAACTGGTGTCGTTCACTGTGCATTGATGTGAGGGCAGAAATTTCGTCATACCAATTTCTCGTCCTTCATTTTGTTTTGAGAAAAAATTTGCCCTATTGTTTTCCAAGAAGTTCCTGAGAATGACATCTTTTTTGTGAAATTTTATTATTTAGAACGAAGTAAGTTCCACTATTTCTCCAGTGCAATAGTTTACTGATCACTATGATTTTTAGTGGGACGTACGCCTGTATGTGTACCATCCTGTTGATCGGCTGCTCCACCTAACTTTCATCTCTATTGATAACCACTTTGCTCGAGGTGGTCGCGTGACGATTCCACTCGTCCCTAGCGCTATAACAAGTACTACAGTACAGTGGCCCTCCACGCTAAGGGTCACAAAGCGAAGCAATCCTTTTGTCTAGAGCACCGGTGAAGAAGTCTGACCATCGGACTGGTGTCAGCGATCATACTAAAGTCGGATAATGTGTTTGGACCAACTAGTTTTAAGTGACGATCTTCATTCGTTGGCGCAGCTTAACTACAGATTTCCTCATGTGATTTCGAATTCGGATACTCCGAGCATTGCCCTTTCCACTGTGGTTGAGTACTATTGACTACATTCTCATTCTACTGCGCAGAGCCCAAGCCCCTGAAACAGGGGGAGTCCTATATTCGAGAAAAAAGCCGACTTTTGCGACCGAAGAAAGAAACAGTAGCGAGTCAAATTCTCATAGGCATCGTTTGCGTTTTCGAATGCGGCAACCCTGCTTGCTCGGTGTTCGCTGCTATGAGCACGACTACTTCCGCAAAGCTGGGATGATTTGATCGTACTTTACTTCAGTATCTTCTCATTCCAGCATGTGCAGGATAATGCCGAAAGGCAATGAGAATTGCCTTAACTTTCTTGCAGAATAGCCTGATGATGGTCGTAAAGTTGTATTGGAAGTAACAGCTCCTTGTCACATAATGGGTATAATGGCATCCTGGTCGTCAAGGCTTGAATCACCGTGTCTATCTTCGCTGTATCAAAAACATTCTTCACTTTGATGAATGTCAGAGATAACTATATTCTGTACTTCGATACTTCTCTGAATCGTGTGACAGTATAAATAACCGTACCGAACTCCCTCCGGAAGCCTACGTGACCGTCCTTCAGTCAGTGTTCTCTTAATTTTGGTGATTATAACTCGTGTGAAGGTTAGAGGATTATATACAATAGACCGATGGTTGCCACTGTGACTTATGTCCCCCTTTTCTTGCACAGCAACACAGTCTTGCTGGTTTTCATTGAGTGAGCACCTTGTATCTTGGCAGATACCCCGTGAAGAATCGACCCAGAGTTTTGTGAGTACACGTCAGTAATTCCTGTCAAAATTTTCAGACCTTCTGCTTTGATCCTGCTAGGATTGGACGCTGTGACGCTCCCTCAAGGTGATTAGGTGCCATGTCAGAGATGGGATCTGAAGGAACGACCCATCCTCTTTCCCTACGATGGTAGGCGAGCAGGAAGACATGGCTGTTGAAGATCAGAATGAACGACTTTTTCTGTGCCCTTCAACATGCAGTAACTGTTCCATCATGACGATGAGGGGGCCCGCCCATCTTTATTTTGTAATAGGAGAATGTTGCGAATGCTGCCACTGCCAACGCTTAGGCCGGAACTGCTATTCTTTTCTCTTCCAAAATTTCCTTTATCGGTTCTTCATGATACCTATTCTTCATAAGGTAGCTGTACAACTAACACTTTGTTTGACTCGATGAATGGTATTTCCGAGTCTTACAAGTACGCGTTTCAGAGACTGACTTGCTTTTTTCAAATTTTCTGTGTACAATCCTAGACTACAGTTTTCCTTTTCCCTCCTCTCACTGATTTTACAGCCATAATTTGTTGTCAAGTAAGCATTTACACTTTTTCAATTCTATTGTCTCAGAGGCTCTCTTTTACGGATTCGGATAATCAAGTTTTCTGGTTTTCGGCTGAATGTAGGTGGGTCTTTCTTCAGTCTACAGTGAGTCCTTTTCGATACTATGATTCGTTGTAGAGCTTGTTACCTCAATGATATGATTATGGACGTAGTAACTCATCATCTGCGCTTCGCTCAACATTTGATCTCGTGCTTCCTTTGTTTCTTGAAACCCTCTAGAGACTGATCCTTCATGACATATCTGAAATCCTCTTGCTGATGCCTTGCAGGAAAATGAAGAGTACCACCCAGACCTACTGACACTTACACATGCAGTCTATAAGCATATATGCTCAGCTGCTCAGTCATATAAGTATGGCCCCTTTCTCTCTTAGAACTATCACTGAGAACTCACGAAAATCTTTACAGAGATGCCTTCTCCATCTCTTGCTTAACTACAAATGAATCAAGTCCAATTCCTCTCTGAACAAACCTTTACAGCTACAGTAATTTTTTCGTCAGGCGTTCTTGTTAAGATTCCCTTATAGACGTTGCAAAAGTTACCTTTTCCAAGTAAATCCTGTAATATCTCTCTTTTTTATTGGCCAAGATTGCCTATAGAACGTATGCAACTCCAAAAGCGATCACATTGGAAGGAGAAATTTCGCTCATGGCCCAATCCACACCCATGATTACTCAGAATGCTCACTTCGCGGTAGGGCAATGCAAGTCACATGAGTGAGGCTCAGCGTCACGGCTTCACTTTTTGGGACTATAAAGCGGAGGTGAATGCAAACGTCCCATACAATGTTCCATCATAGACGATCACCTGATCTTCAACCAGGAAACATTGTGTGGGGCGACTGCTAGTTGACGGAGCAACGTGGCACAATAGTGAACAGACGACATCTAGTTAGCCTGTAAGGGGTATGCTACTAACGGTTTGGCCTATCCAGAAGGCAGTTTGGCTCCGTATAGTGAAAGTCAAAAGAGCCAACCTTTTCTTTATCAAACGATACATGTTCATGTTTAATCAACCATGTAGGTCTTGTAATTCCATGCGTTAATCGAGCGTGTCCCGGAAGTTTATGATCCTGTAAAGCGCCTATTTTGCTTGCTTGGCTCCTATATAAAAACTATTCACGCTATGAAACTTTGGCTTTTTACGATGGGTCCTACATCCTCACATTCGAGCAACATTTGCCCTCATTTTTTCACTTAAAAATGAGGTTTCATCAAAAAGGGTGAAGTTTTGAAAGCATTGCCCTCAGATGTGTTAGGATGGCAGTTCTGGCCGGTAGCGTGTGTACAAATACTGGATCGAATGAAATCACGATCGAGACAAAGAGAAAGGCGGCTTGTTCAAAGCAACATGAACACAACATGAACACTCATCCTTTGTTCTGCTGCAGCAATATATTTAGAGCTATTTCTGCTTGAGGTGTTCTTGTCAGAAACTGATATCTCGGTCTGGCCTGCTACCCACGATGAATAAAAGAAGTTTTGAAACTCATGAAAAAAGCAGCTTTCCAGAAAATTGCTCAGTACGCTTTTGAAAAAGCTCTACAGATTCACTTACAACTGCATCGATACGACGTGCATGGCTGTTACTATTGCCGTGATTTTATCAACTATTGCCCGCAGTACGAATTCCGCAAGCGTCTTATTCATTCTCGTGTTTTTTTTTTCAACCATGACAACTTTACTGCATTAAATACAGCAGCAAAAANTTCACTGTAGATCACAATTTCATTCGTTGCTTTTGATAAATGCAGGGAATCAAAACAAATAAACAGAAATGACCAACTCAAGAGAGGAACATAAGATATCGTCCATGTAATGGAAAGCAATTTCAAGAAATAAAAAAGACTTTTCACTAAGGAGGTAAGGGGCGGAACTGAGCTGGGGTCTACGCATTAGAGGCATGTCCATCGAAACGCCAAATGGAGGCATCGCTCCAGGAAAGCCAAAAGGCGGCACCGGTCCATGGATTCCCGCTACCGGAGCACCAACCATTGGGGGTCGACCCATCATTTCATTCCTTTCTTACTTCTTGTGCTGCCGCAAACCTTCTATGTGCAGGGCTTTTCAATTTTGAGTTACGCCAAAGTTGCATCCTACCCTTACGAGGAATTGAACATCATGCCCAACTTGATCATTGGCAAGCCAACTTAGCATTTCTAAACTTGCGAATTAAGCCTGTTGCTAGCACTTTTCAGCAGCTCTTGCTGTCGGAGCATTGTAATTTTATTTGGCATCCACGGAGATTCCAAGAATCTGCCGAAGCGACAAGACTAAAACTTCAGGCAAATAAATCTGAACCGTCTTGGCCGAGGTTGAATATTTATATGTGAGGCAAGCAGTATGAATGACCCCGATCCGCGTATATGGGCAACTACCAATTTCATCCAGGGTTTGTGGAACTGTGAGTTACTCGATGGTATGAGATGATCTTTGCTGCCTGTCATCCTGATCATTCGACCATCTTTCCTTGGTCGATGTGACAGTGATTATCCGTCATTCTTAAGCCAGTACTGGCGTAGAAATCTTTGACGATGACCTCGAAGGTATGGTCATTCTTATGAATTACCTACTACATTAACTTCTTCCCGCTGACCTATACGAAAGCATAGTGACAGACGTGGGATATGTAGCAGTTTGTCAAAGCTGGGCTACAGTGATTATCCAGATATCCCACATCTTTTCGATCGAAGTCCGATGTCTTTGCTATCACATATTCGAAGATCTTTCTTTTCCCCTTCCTCGAGTGGAATGCTCACAACTCGCCCAGTTCGAACAAACGTCTGCTTGATTTTCCCGTCTTGCATCACTACGTCTTCAGAATACGCACCCAAAGCGAATGTTCATTCAATGAAACTACAGATAGATGCTTGTTTTTTTATAGTTTACCAGTTTATTAGTTCGGAAAAGGGCAGAGGTGGTGTAGTGGCAAGTGGCGCACTATCTCACACGCATGGCCATGGATTCAAATCTGGGATCGATAACCGGATAGGCCCACCAAGCCTTTCATCTCTTCAGGGTCGGCTAATTGTNACTCTTCTGATTTATTATATAGTCCACATACACATTCATTACTACTATTCTACTACTACCGCTACGATTCTATTAGGTTGATGCATAATTGTTGCGGATTTTTTCGCGGCTTTTTTTCTCTCGACAGAATTTGAATATTGAGTTCGGGTTTTCTCTAGAAATTATCTACTTGGTTTCCTCTACGAAAATGTACCTAGAAAACCATCCGCATGTTCGCGAAATTAGACTCTACTACTTCGAGAAAGATTGGAATGTGACAGAGTCATTCCGCGATCCCAGTAACTTTTCGGCGATGGAACAACCAACCAAAACTAGCCAAGAAATGGGATCTGCTCCTAAATCTTCCTTATTCATTAGCAGAAACTTCTATAGATTACCTCGTCAACCGTTTGCTGAAAAAATGGTTAGGGAATAAAACCTACGACATCCGAATACTTGATGGCCGATGTCAAGGCACGAATCACCCCCGAGGGTCAAAACTTCTTCGCTTTTAGGATCCGACTATCTACCCAACGGGAAGCAGTGCTTGACGTAGATGTTGGGCAAGTTCCGGAGTAATTATTTGAACATGTTTTTGTTCAGTATTTCTATCGTTTCGTTAAGTAAAATTTGTTTAAAAAATCCGCAATTATTATGCATCAACATAATAAATGGAAGTTTGATGCAGGGGCGCATCGCTCGGACGTGATTGATTGGCTGCTTCATGGTCCACCGGCGTGCCGGCGTGCCGGCGGACTACGGACTATGAAAGCAGCCATTAACGTCAAAAGGCTTTGAAGACTTCATTTGCTCGAATAATTGTAGCTGTTTCTTCTAACCGGTCCTATGCATCGATGTGTTACTGGAGCTCCTTTTTTTCGAAGGAATGAGGCTCCTTTTCAATACTGGGTTCAGCATGTGGATAAACGGTAAATGACATGAATCAGCAGGGAGTCCTTCACTGAGAGGTAACGCTTTGGAAAAGGGATACATGAGGGTGATTGCGCTGTAGCTGAAGTAGTTCGCGCTTCTGAACACTTCGCAACAGTTTAGAGGACTCTAGTTTTTAAAATATCTTCGTTTTTACGACTAACATTATTGTAATTCCCCAGTTGGTTACAGTTTGAATTGGGCTACTTTCAGAACAAGTCATGAGAACTTATGAGAAGAGGCTCGCTTAAGAGTGCTTCTCAACATTTACTTTCCTTATTATATAATCCTACATGATTACCTTACAAGATCGGCCTGTTAGTTTGTGGGTTGTAATCTTTTGCAGCAACAGTAGTTGAGAGCTTCTCTTCAAATCCTCGGCTAGTGGCTCGCCATATCAGTATCTATTGGCAATTATGATGATCCAACGTGTAGGATGTACATCTGCTTCATCGGTTTGATGAATAGGTGGGAGTAGAAGGCGAATTTTGATATTTCAAAATAATTTTCAATTTCGTTTTCACTTTTACCACTTCATGAGTACTTTCATAGCCATGTGAGTATATCAGCCTTGATTATGGCCTTCGTTGCAGCAAGGAATGCTTGCTTACCCTATAATAGTTAATTAACTCGGCGACCTGTGCAAAACGTGGCACAGATTTAGTACTCTTTCGAAGAACTCCAAGCTGCCATAGTTTGTTATTATCACATCTAAATGAAGGAGTTGTGCAGCTATCAACATTTGATTATTCCAGTTTGATAACTTACTTTATTGTCAAATTTACCAACTCTCTTTTGTCGTTCAATACTGAAATTACTATTTCTGGCATATTTCGAGAGTCTGTGGCGCGAACGAGAAAGTCTCCAGGCTCTTTAAGTAATGCCCTTAAATGATAAGCTTTTATCTTCTAGAATTTCCTTCGAGTATTTCGATTCGTTTAAGCTGAAATCATACTTTGCTCACTTCAAATGCCGTTTCACTTTCTTCCTACTGAATTTCATTTTGAATTTCAGAAACGTAAAACCGATAAGACTACCTTAGAGGCTCTGAATGGTGACTCAAATCGACAGATGAGGACCAGTCGAATCTCTTCATATGGTTTGATGTGTGTATGTGTATATATGTGTATTTGTGTTTGACAGGAAGTCTCAACTTCTCTCCCGATAAGGCGTTCACAAGGCGTTCACAATCAGAACGTGTGAGGGTGTGAATGAATGTCTGAGAGAAGAGAATGAAGAGGCCAGAAGCCAGGACAAGCTCTGCATGAGTATTATGCGGAGCTGCAGAAGGCAGCAAATAGTTGCAGTTTTGAAGAAATCAAGAACCACAGAAATGCAGTAGTCACAATGGTCTTCATTGGAGGACTACTCTCAGTAGAGACAAGAAAGCCTTTGTTGGAAAAAGAGGAACTGACATCAAAGGAGGCGTTGGAACAAGCGGAGGCGTTCGAGCGAGTTGGAGAAAACGCCCCACATTTGAAGGAGGGCCACAGGCCGCAGGAGTAGCTCAGGTGTGAATGCGTAACCGGCAATCGACTTGGCGCGCGCAAACGATTGAGCAAAAGCGGAAGCCGAGCAAAGGCCCAGCTCGGAAGGAGTTCAAGTGTAGGGTTTGCGGTGCGTCAGGGCATGCCGGTTACGAGTGTTTTAGAAAGCAAACTGCATACTGTAAAGTATGTAAGAAGAAAGGGTACCTAGCGGCGTCATGTTGGAAAAGCGCTAAGGCAAGCCGTAAAGTCTTCCGCCAGGTGCACTGGTGTGAGGAGCCCGCCGGAAGCTCCGACAACGGTGAGGAGTTGGTAAGTCAGAGCGTGAATATGGTGGTAAAGTCGCGCTTAAACCACTGTCGTAGAGCTGGCAAGAATCCGGTGTGCCGATCAAGTCCAAGGAGAGCGGTGGTGGTAGGTCGCGCCCTCGCTGGTGGAGAAAGGGCATGCGGCAGAATACGGATGGTGGAAGCCGCTAGCACAAACGTTCGCAGTGAAAATGAGCAAAACTTGGATAAGGGAATGATAGGTAGGCATATGTCTGTTCGGGGCGAAATAGACCGGTTGGCAGATGAGCCACCGCGAATGTTGGATATGGAAGTGAATGGAATAAGGATTCCATTCGAGTTGGATACCGGCGCATCCTTATCCATTATTGATGAAAGAACCTGGCACAAGCTAGGTAGACCGCACTTGCAGAAGCCTGAGATAGCGGCAACGGCATTTGGTAACAAGCGGATTATGTTTCAAGGCAAAGTCCCATTGCAATTTAGGTTCGCCGGTAAAGAAGCGATAATAGATGTGCATGTCTTTAGGGAGGCAAGTCACTCCTTGTGTGGAAGCGACATGATAAGGAAGTTGCAGATCGACTGTGGACCACACTATGATAGGATTCACAGTGTTGCACAGATGTCCAAAGTAGCAATTAAAAAGGAGTTGGTGCGTATACTGAATAACAGTGAGAGGTTATTCCAGGAGGGTTTGGGCAAGTGCACAACTTCACGAGCCGAGCTCAAGTTCAAAAATTAGGTAGTTGTGCCGAAGTTCTTTAGAGCCAGACCAGTTCCTATCGCGTTGAGGCCTAAAGTTGAAGCTAAGTTGGAGGAAATGGTACGGAATGGTACCATTAAGAGGGTAGAGCATAGTAGGTGGGCCACGCCGCTAGTAGTTGCGCCCAACCAGGCGGGAAAAGAAGGATCTGTGGCGGTTATAAGGTCACAGTGAACTCGCAGTTAGATATAAATCAGTACCCATTGCCTAAGCCAGACGACTTATTTCACATGTTGCACGGCGGCAAGAAGTTTTCAAAANGCTGAAGGCGATATTAAACATGCCGGAGCCGAAGAATTTAAAGGAATTAGAGCCTTATTTGGGCATGATTCAATATTACGGCAAATTTATCCCGAGGCTAGCAACGCTAGCAGCGCCGTTGAATAGTTTGCGAAGGAAGGGTGCACCCTGGAAATGAGAAGTAGAAGAAAAAATAGCCTTCAGTCAAATACGTGAAAAGCTTACAGCCGCGGATACATTGGCGCATTATAATCCAGATATTCCGGTAGTATTGGCTACCGGTGCTTCAGAATATGGTATTGGAGCAGTATTATACCATAGATATGACGATAAAAGTGAGAAAGTGATTGCGTACTCATCCCGTTCCTTGACAAAACAGGAACGCAATTACGCCCAAATAGAGAAGGAGGCGTTGGGAATAGTATATGGAGTTGAAAAATTCAACCAGTTTTTTTATGGTCGTCGATTTATACTGCTAACGGATCATCAGCCGTTATGAGGATATTTGGTCTTAAACAAGGATTACCGGTGATTGCAGCCAACAGGCTGCATAGATGGGCACTGAGGCTCATGCTGTATTCGTTTGAGATTGAGTATAGAAGGACGTCTGAGTTTGGCAACGCGGACGGTTTATCGAGGTTACCCGATTCGAAAGAGTTGCCTAGTGCTGAAATGGTGATAAATGAACTGTATGTCCAGCAAATGGCAGAAGAAGCAGTGGAAAATCCTCCTGTAACAGAGGCCCAGATAGCCAAGGCCACAAAAGAAGACCCTTTATTACAGATGGTGGTTAATTACATGCAGAAAGGTTGGCCGCTTAAGGTCAAGGATGATAGGCTGAAGCCATATGCGATGAAGAGGGCAGCCTTATCAATCCACAATGGGTGTATATTGTGGGGATATGGGGTGGTTATCCCCAAGAAGTTTCAGCAAGCAGTGCTAAAAATGCTGCATAATAGCCACTGTGGTAGGAGTAGGATGATTAGCTTGGCGAGAACTAAGATATGGTTCCCAGGCATGGACAAAGCGGTAGAGGGGGTGGCAAGGAATTGCAGCACATGCGCAGTAATGGGAAGAGATCCAGTAAGGATACCCTTACACCCATGGGAATAGCCGGAGAAAGTATGGCAAAGGCTGCACATAGATTTTTGTGAAACAAGCGGGGGAGTAAAATGGCTGGTGGTGGTAGACACCAAGTCTTAATGGCGAAAAACCACGGCCGGGAAAACAATACTAAAGCTGAAGGAAATTTTCAGCAGACATGGGTTACCCGAACAGTTGGTTTCGGACAATGGTCCCCCCTTCACGTCAGCGGAGTTTCGTACCTATTGCGAGAGAAGAGGCATTGAACAGATATTCACACCGCCATACCACACCAACTCGAATGGCGAAGCAGAACGTTTTGTGCAAACGTTCAAGGATGCGCTGGTTAAAGGGTTACGTTCCAATGAGACGGTGGAAGAAGCCCTACTGGACTTGTTATTCGAGTATAGGGTAACGCCCCATGTAGCGACTGGGAAAGCACCAGCGGAAATGCTGATGGGAGGAACCCTAAGGACTACACTAGATATAATAAGATCGAAAAATAACGCGTTGCCCCCGAACAGATATCGCGCAGGGATGAAAAAAGCATTATGATGTTGGAAAAAAAGAACGGCGATTTAGCGTGGGACAAGAAGTTTTTATAAGGAACTACACCGGGTCGGGAGATCGGTGGATACCCGATATTGTAGTTAAATCTTGGGAACAAGCACGAGGTCCACCACGGCATGGGTGTGAGAAAAACCCATGCCGATCAGATGAAGGAAAGGGTCATCTCATGGGAATTGGCGGATTAGGAGCTGTTGAGGAGAATGGAAAAGAGCACTTCCAAAAGGAACGGTGAGCTCACTGAAGAGCCGCTGCGGCGGCGGTCGAAGAGGAAGTGGCAAGAAACCGCTAGAATGACGGAGTTTTGCGAAAGTGGAAAGCGGCCTATAAAAGAGGCTGGAAGGGGTAGGCAACTCAGTTATGTTCTCGTGGCCTCCACAGCAGCCGCAGCAGCAGCAACCTCAGGCGGTACTCATCGGGGGGAGGCGGGCCAGTGTGGCCCGCAGCCGAGCCACCCAGTGGTACTAGTCCCGGTAGGGACTGGAGTTCTGGTGGCGGGGCCGTCGCCACCGACGCCAGCAATGGTGCCGGTGATATGGGCCCCGCCAGGAAGGCGGGGAAGACCGCGGCGCGATCGCGCTCTGTGGTCGGCGTTGGAAGAGATCCTGAAGGACCTCCACAAAAGGGAGGGCGAAGAACGCGGGAGGAGCCTTCGGCTTCTGGGGGGCGCCCCAGCCGACGGCGAAGTTCAAGAAGCCACAGTCGGCAAGACGAAGCCGCAGCCGATCAGGGCGGCGAAGGAGCCCTAATGAGCCTTGAAGACCCCCGGTAAGGAGGATGTTTGCAATAATGATGGTATTATGGTGTTCAGAAATATTGAGGGGTGAGGAGGAGGTAGTCATGCGGTTGAACCTCCTCACCCCGAGGAATCCTGAGTGACCGTAGGGTCATTAGGGGGAGGTGTGAGGGTGTGAATGAATGTCTGAGAGAAGAGAATGAAGAGGGATCAGAGGATAGGCCTGATAGAGAGAGAGTGTATGTATAAAAGGGTGCTACCCTCTCCAATAAAGCATTCCATCCTCTTGTGTTTGTCCGACATCGTCACTGAACGGAAACCATTGGTAAGCTAGAAACACTAATAGGGGATGAGAACCTTTGATAACAAGCGATAAAGGCTGACAAGGGTTTATAAAAGTCAATAGCCACTTGGACCATAAAGCCGTTTGTGTTAGCAGTGGATCACTATCACAAAGGTGAGTGACATGGAATGGGACGGGTTCGTACGTGGATGGGTGGTGATGAGATCTGACAACAGCTGACAAGGAAGGTCTTTCAGGGCGTAGGACGCTTCTCGAAAATGGTTTTTTGCATGGTATAGGGGCATGAACACTGGGTATAGAGCTATGGTCATTTCCGCTAAATGGCCTTCTGAATGCCAAAAATGACTAAAAATTATTTCGTCAGAAATCGCCGTTTTAACCCACTCAGTGTCGTTTGTTTCATTCACGGCATCGACTGTCCGCACCGTAGAAGGGGCCAGCGGCGGCGACATTGAAAACAATGTGAACGGTAGCCAAAAAATAGGGTCACATGTTGAAACATGTTGAAAGGGTACGGGGAGGTTCCATATGTGCTCTCCAGGGTTAAGCTGCTACCATCGACGGATGGTGTGGTGGATAGCGATGTGGACTTCGGGTTAGGACGGCTAGGCTGGGTTGATGGTTCGGATCCACAGGGCTTTGCCGTTTTTGCATTTTATGCTGCCACCTCCAGATTGGCTCAATATTGCACCAGGGCCAAAGCAAGTGCCCGACTGGTCATGGTCGTGACCAGGACCAGCCAGGCACACAACCCCTACAAGCCGTTAGAATTGTTGTGTGGAGCACTATCAATGGAGGAGCTTCCAGGCTTCACGGTTCCAGGAGCTCCCCATTCCCCTCCCCTCAACTTCCTCACGTAGGTTTTTCACCAGTTCGGCTGTTTCTGCATCCTTCACATCGGGAGCTCATTCAGTTGATAAAGTGTTGGTAAGATATCATTTTGATAATCAAAAAAACTCGATATCATATCATCTGGTATTCGGACATTGCATGGAGATTGCACAGTCCATACAACTCTTTGAATGATTTGAATAGTAATGGTTTGATTGCTGTTTTATTTCGACCGGATTCCTTCAAATTTGATGAAAGGCGCATCTAATTTCGATGGTTTCACCGTTTCTCACCTTAGCGATGATTTTGCGCCGTTGAAGGGCTTTTGTCCACTGTTCTAATTGGTCATCTCCATTTCCATCTCCCCTCATGATCAGTATCTTCTGCAGTCACCTCGACTTCAGAAATGTCCTGCCAGCCCATCATAGCAGGACGCGGAGGTAACCCTTCATTTCACTCTTCAAACCCTTCATCTAGTCATTAATCTGGTAATCTGACACTTAAATAATTTCCTTCAGGGGTGACAGCTTTCTATATCAAGCCCAATGCTCATGGATCCTTCAGCAAAAAGACGCTTTGAAAGATAATCCAATTCGTTTTCCCACAGAAGTCCGCTGTTGACGCCCAGTTGACGCCAGGGAATCGGGAGCTACAAGGAGTATGGGAGTCCCGTGATCTTTGCATTGACGAAGGGGGTGGAGGACAGCTTCCATCGGGCAGGAACCATATTACAGGGTTTTGATCCCCATTATAACACTTACATAGTGTGAAATGAAGAGACCCATTTATACTCCTGGGAGTGGGAAGCCTGGAAGCTTCTTCACTGATAGTGCGCCGCACATCAAATTTGAACGAATTGTAGAGGTTACGGGTGGTCCTGGTCACGACCATAATCAGTAGGGCACCTGCTTTGGCCCTGGTGCAGCATGGAGCCAATCTGGAGGTGGCAGCATAAAATGTAAAAACGGCGAAGCCCTGTGGATCCAAACCATCAACCCAGCCTAGTCGTCTTAACTCGATATTCACATCGCTATCCACCACTTCATCCGTCGCTGTTAGCAGCTTAACCGTGGAGAGCACATATGGAACCTATGGATATATGGAACGTACCCTTTCAACATGTTTCAACATGTGACCCCCTTTTTTGCTACCGTTCACGTTGTTTTCAACGTCGCCGCTGGCCCCTTCTACTGTGCGGACAGTCGACGCCATGAATGAAACAAACGACGCTTAGTGGGTTAAAACGGCAATTTTTGACCTCTGCTATTCATGCATTGAAGTGAAGATGTTCGACCTGCTTATGAGATCCTTGTCCGACGTTGTAGGTACAGCATCCTTCTACAATACGAATTCTGAGATGAGCGGAGCGGTCCCATTGGTGGGCGGACCTCATGCTCAGCATTTAGCTGCTTTCTCTGCACCCATCGAAGCCGTGTTTCTAACGTTATATACGATTGTTTGGTCCTTTAAGAACTTCATCCAAGCAGACATGAGTTGGGAAAATGTTCCGTTTCATTTCGTGGTGAACCTGACCACTAGGTGTGCCCCAGATAGAACGGGAGTGCTTTTGAAACTGCAATTATTTGTAGATGGTATCGACTGCGTAGTAGACTCTGATAGTCTTCAATCCTGCTCGACCCATTTTATGCCGTGAGCTCCGTGTGAAACTCTCCAGTCGTTGGTTTAGCCGATCTTTGCTCTATCTCTATTAAGCTCGCAACACACATAACATCCCACCTCCAGAATGAGAAGATCGCCGAACAGTGGAGGAACTCGCGGCCGGTTATTCCTCACAAGAAGGGAGACCGAGATGATCTTCGTAACTACCGCCAGATACGCTTGTTGAATGTACTTTACAAGCTGTTCACGAAGACCATTCCAACCCGCATATCGCTTTGTTCTATGAAGCTCAACCTGTAGAGTAGGCCGGAATCCGGAAGCAGTTCAGCTACTTAAACCACACCCAGGCGGTCGCAATGTTCATCGAAGCGTGCCGAAAATTACGAATGCCTTTGTCCTTACCTTTGTTGACTATGAGAGAACTTTGAAAAAGTGGGCCCATCTACATAAAAACACTAGCTGATTGCAGTAGTCGCTGCAGTGCGACGATGAAGCTGTTCCAACGACCTCTCTCCCCTAGGGAAGGGTGTAAGACAAGGCACACTGTTTCGCTGAAACTGTTCACAGCCGCGCTGCAGTGGCTTGGGCTGAAGGTCAAATTAAGATAGATGGTATACGCTTCCGCAACTTCGCGCTAATCTGTTCGATTCCACACTCCTTCGTGCGCTCTGTTAAGGGTCGGAAGCTCGGGTGACCAGGGCATACGTCAACGTCTTTGAACACAAGTCACCGGGCGCCCGAGCGATGTCTTTTGAGCATCAACCGGCTCACTCAGTATGGAGCTGGACTCCGCAGCTCCGATATGCGCAGAATGTCTCGGCTCCGCGATCCGGTGGAATACATGAAGAAAGCAAAGTTTTGGTAGGCCGGTCATATAATGAGAAGAGATAATGAGAGAAGGAAGAAGAACAGTCGAGGGGGCTCCCGTGGGATCTTCACGATCTAGGGGGACCATCTTCGTTCTTCGACTACCTTGGATAGTGATCGCGCGAATGACAGAATCGGATGGTTTCTTGCTGGTGCTTTCACATTAGTGAAGACGAGCCATATAAGTATCTCTACTAAGCTCTACCACAAAGCATAAAATGTGTTTGGTCTCAGCGCATATGTTTGTTTCTTTGTATTTTGTTTCGGACGACTTTGTTGTTTTGAACGAGTGCTTGTCCAGGGAACACCCTTTTGTCGATGCCTCTATGCCACAAGTCCTGCCAAATGTTTACGTTCCAGTCTGCTTCATGACAAGCAAGAAGAGAGGCTCCTGGTTTGGAAAGCTTGAAAATCGGCATTGATCAGCAGTTGATCAATTATTCAGTTGAGAAATTCCTTTTTTCGTCGTAAAAATTTTCTTATGTTTGAGGACTGTGATGATGTCTACGATATGAATTGGTCTGTCCCGGTATAATGCTTTTGAAAGAAATATCTGTTGTAGCATCTGGCAAGAGATGTCCATTTATCATACGCATGCGCTGTCAGGCGGTCTAAAGCATTGTGAATGATAGCTGAAGAGAAAGTTAAGCTTAGCATGTTGTTTATGTTTCGCTAGAAGCAGCAGGAATACTCACCAGACTATGAAGCACTTGGCAGAATAATATTTTTTATTGATTTATATAATTTTGTCTTCTCCTCCGATGGTATGACAGCACCAGAAGTGGGGTACACGCTATGTACCAGACGATGCTGTTTACAGTAGTATGTCGAATTGACATGTATTATGACTGCTTCTACTCTATGGGATCATCTTTACCGAGTGTTGAGTTGAACTTCAATCGACACCTGTGTATTCTCAAGATGTTCCTAGGATATGTTTAGTTCGTGCGGCTATCGGCCTTCGGCTAGTGATTTACCCTATTCAGAAACAATTTGGAAGCCGACTTTTGCAAACTTATTGGCAGCCTCATTGAAGGAGTTCGACAAATAGCGCGCAGTAACTCACACAACATCTTTCCGAGGCCGAAATCCGTGGTACCATGTTTGGTGTTCCAAATCGCCCTTCAAGAAACGTCTTAGGCAATCAGAAATCGGCAACATTCAAGTCAAAGATAATATCAGTTTATGATGGTCTGGCTTTCAAGCACTCTTATACTAATACAATACTTTCAGGACATGATTACACTTATTTGTCATGTTCATGGATTACAGTCAACATAGAAAAAGATGCGCCAATGTAGCTGTACAAAGTTCAGTCAATTCCGCGACAATTCGATTCCGCTTCACAAACTTTGAAAGCGTATCTCATTTGGTTTATGTAATTGCTTTACCACTCAGAAATAGACTGCAACTTCCTACCTTCACTTCTGGTTTCTCTTTCAGCGCTTTTTCGGTCTTCTCCGTTTTGGAGGTCTTCGAATCATCCATTGACTGCCCTCTGTTCTTTCTTCCGAGTGATCGTAAAAAAATGACCACCCACCGTTCTCTTCGCATTTATACTCTCCCTTCGGAAGATACGTCGATGTTTTGCACATTGTTGTTTCACTCCCTGGGCAAATCGGTTCGAGAATTATGCCACGTCGTCGCGACCGGTTGCATAATGATTGGAATTTCATACAGAAAACTGTATAATAGTTAAAACGAATGCAACTGATCCAGACTCCTAGCTATTTCTGTGCATAACTCGTGCCTTGACCATCTCTCCTATGATACTTAGACTGGTCTCACAGAGATGGCGATTTGTGCGCAAAACTTCGGCCTCGGACAGGACTCGAACAAGTACTTTTGTTTTCCGGGAACCGTCTACTATACCCCCTCACCGTACACTATACTTACACTACCGGACCCCGCCTGCCCTCGCCTTCTTAATCTACAGCCAGTCATGGCTAGGCGGTGAGTTGCATGTCCAGGACATAAGCATCCATGAATGAGGTTGTCCAAGAAGTACCTCAGTCCCGTGCGGCTACCGCCCTTCCCGGCAGAGAGGACAACGGCAGAGGGGGAGAAATGTCACGGCAAGCGATCTGCCAAGCTGTCTTCTGAACATTGCTACCATCAACGTTCGAGGTATTGTCAGTTATTCCGCGGTTGGTCAGTTGATTTCCGAATGAGACAAATATGCGGTAGACTTGGCATGTGTGCAAGAAACGCTGAGATTCGAAGCAGGAACATGAAAGTGGCGCATGGGTAACGAGTTCATGCTGGGAGCTGGGTCAATGAGCGGTAAAGTTGGAGGAGTAGGACTCATCGTTGCGCCGCATTTGACAAGAAGATCACTTATTGTTAATTTTTTCCTGAACGGATCGCGATGCTTGTTCTTGAACTGGATATGGGAGCACGATAAAGTTGCTGGCCGTCGATGGACCTAGTATCATTCTAGAACGACGTTCCACCAAATTGATTTCTTCCTGACGAACTGTTCACGACTTTTTCGTAAGATGGCGTCATCGGGGAATCACACTTCAACGTCGGATCAGATCAC